TGGCAGTTGGTCCTTTCCCTGGGGCTGCTGAGCCTCTGATGGGTCTCTGGGGAAGGACTCTCTTCTGGGAGAGATGCTTCTTTCCCAATATCCTAAGCCTCATTGCTTGCTCCAGCCACGCTGAGAACAGGTGAGGTGGAGGCAGGGAAAGAGAGGAACATGCACATTTACTGAACAGCCTGCACGCCAGGCATTGTGCTCAGATGCCTTCCCTGTTATCTCATTTAACCATTGCAACACATCTTTGGAGGAAGGCACTTGTTTCCATTTATTTTCATTATACTGCTTTTTTTTTTTTTTTTTTTTTTTTCAGTTGAAACACAGGTCTGGAGCAGTTGCCAAGGTCACGGAGCTATCAATGGTAAAAATTCTATGTGAATTTAGATCTGCTCAGTAAGAAAACTTGTGTTTCTAAATGGCATCACTGAATGCATATACTAGGCTTTCTTCCTATCCCATGACTGCTGAGTGCTGACACCTGGACCCGTTGCTGTTACCATTATCATCACCATCACCATGATCATCACCATCACCCTCACCGTGATCATTATCACCATCACCTCATCATCACCATTACCATCACCATCATCATGATCATCATCACCATCACTTCATCATCACCATTACCATCACAATGATCATTATGATCACCATCACTTCATCATCACCATTACCATCCCCCATCGCTATGATCATCTTCGCCACCATCACCATCACCTCATCACCACCATCACCATGATCATCATCACCATCACCATGATGATCATCATCATCATTACCATCACCACTGCCATCACCTTATCATCACCATCACATCGTCGTGATCATCATCACCATCACCATCACCATCACAATCACCATGATCATCATCATCACCATCACCATCACTATCACCTTATCATCACCATCACATCACCGTGATCATCACCATTACCATCACCATGATCATCATGATCACCATCACTTCATCATCACCATTACCATCCATCACCCATCACTATGATCAACATCATCATCGTCACAATCACCATCATCATCACCATCACCATCACCTCATCACCACCATCACCGTGATTATCACCATCACCATCACCATAACCTCAAAATCACCATCACAATCACCATGATCATCATCATCACCATCACCATGATCATCATCATTACCATCACCATCATCATCATCTTATCATCACCATCACATCACTGTGATCATCATCACCATCACCATTGCCATCACCATCACCATCACTTCATTATCACCATCACCATAATTATCATCATCACCATCATCTCATCATCACCATCACCATCTTCAGCATCATCACCCATTACCATCATCATCACCTTCATCAATATCATCACCCTGGAGCCTTTCTAGGTGACTTTCCCTTCTTTTCTACCTTTCTTCCTTACCTAAGAGCAGTTATCACACAGGAATGATGGGGAGGGAGAGGGGTCATTCCATGGACTAAGGATGGTAAACTGTTGGGGTAGTGGCTGTGGGCAGGTGGGGAGGGATGGTAATGGCCTTGGGCTGGGCCAGGCTATTGCCTTGAGTATCCAGGAACCCTGGCCATCCCTACAAATCACACATGGTCCAGGATGGCTTAACCTTGAGTAAGGAAAGACACTTGGAGAAGAGTCCCCTTAATTTCTTGTGGAACTTCTGGCCCTCTCTCTTTGTCCCACTCCAGATCCTGATCTGGCGTTTATCTTATATAGCCAAGAGAGTAAAATTAGAGTACAGTTTTCCTCTAAATACTACACCTGAGGAGGCTTGAGTTAATACCAGATTCCACCATGACTAGTTAGGGAATAGGGAGTAGGTTCCTTAACTTATGGGAATGTCAGTTTCCTCATCTCTAAAATAAGAATAACACCCACTTTATTAGCGTGTTGTGACAATCAAATGAGAGAACATGTATGAAGGCCCCCAGAAGGCCATGAAGTAGCGCGGGGATGCATTCAGTGAGATACCACACATTAGACATTTTGTGTAGTACCTGGTATGCAGAAAGTGCTCAATAAATGCATCTGATTACAATGATGATAATTATAATGTCAGTTCTCTTTATCCTGGTAAAGGGGTCACTAATGCTCCCTTACACTTTTCTTAGCTGCTTTGTTGGAGATCTCAAAGCAATTTAGATGTTCATCTTGTTTCTTCCTGGAGGAGGTGGTGCAAAGAAAAGGATGAGAGGCCCAAAGTGTTCTGCAGACAGAAAGCGCCATCAAGGCTGGGTTTTCCCCAAGGTCCCCGTGGCCTCCAGGTTTCCCCTCTCCACAACTGGGACCTCCTTCTCTGTGGTTTCCAGGGATCGCCTGGCCAGGGCTGGCTTCAGCCTAGAGCCTGGGCCAGCTTTGTTCTTTTTTCACGTTTTGGGGCCAGGAGGGTGGGGGTCTCTCCAGCAGCTAAACTCAAAGCCCAAAATGTCAAGTCAAAAGGAAGGAGGGGGTTGGGGGAAGGAAAGAAAGCAAGCCGATAATTTCCTCGAAGGATAAACATCCGATTTTTTTTCCTCACCCAAAATAAACATGCTAGCCACAATGAATTAAAAGCAGAAGAGGGGAGGATGTGTCTCGATTTGGGGCTGCTCTAGGAAGCTGACCTTCTATTTATCCTGGCCCTGGGCACCAACCGGAGCTGCCAATTACATTCTGAGTCTTGTGGGGTGGGGGCTGTGGGGAGAAGGTCCCAGGGAATAGGGGACCCAGAAAGTTCCCTTGCGAGGCTGCCTTCCATGGCACTGCAAATGGACACTTCCTTTTGCTTCTTATTTTAGGTCAGCTTGCAGGCTTGCCTGGTGGGGTAGAAGGAAGTGGGGAGGCTCCACAATTTCTACTGCCCAGGTTTCCTTTTACCTTGGGCTGGCATAAAATGCTCTTCTGGAGCATCAGAATTTGGTGCCCTTTACCTGGGCAGGGAGCTGAATCTATCAATGAAGCGGGGATCATTCAATTCTCTCCCATTCACAAACTCAACCTCCAGCCCCACTGTATTCTTCAGATCCCCACCACTAAAATTGTGCCACTAGTTAAAAGTGTGCTCAGCTGGGCCAAGGGTTCATCTAGGGCCCTCTGCCTACCAGCTAGCGAGGGGCAGGACTCTAAGATGGTAAGAACCCTGTACCCAGGTGCAGCTTGTTCTTTTCATCTGGGGATCTCAAAGCACTTTGCACACATGAGTCACCAATGTCGCTGTATGCTAGCCAAAGAGTGGTGGTTATTAACTCTTTGAGGGAAACCGAACTGAAGAGGGTGTTAGGGGTGCTGAAAGGACTGGAGTGGTGGTGGGGAGGTAAGGGGCCTCCAAAACTTTAGGCTGGGAATGAGACTGTAGCAGGGAGGGGTCCCCAGGAGTCCTCAGGTGGGGAAGTCAAGAGGCCTGCAGAGAAAGCCCAGGGAAGTTAGATGGCAAAAGTCCTTTCCTTGCAGATACCAAAGAATTTATTCATGGCTTTCTTTTCTTTTTTTCTTTTTCTTTCTTTCTTTTTTTTTTTTTTTTGAGATGGAGTCTCACTTTGTCACCCAGCCTGGAGTGCAGTGGTGCAACCTCGGCTCTCTGCAACCTCTGCCTCCAGGGTTCAAGTGATTTTCCTGCTTCAGCCTCCCAAGTAGCTGGGATTGCAGGCGCCCACCATTACGCTCGGCTAATTTTTGTATTTTTATAGAGACAGGGTTTCACCATGTTAGTCAGGCTGGTCTCAAACTCCTGACCTCAGGTGATTTGCCCACCTCGGCCTCCCAAAGTGTTGAGATTATAGGCATGAGCCACCGCACCTGGCCTTATTCACAGCTTTCTAAAAGCATACATCTGATTATGCCATCTGCCCCTCCAATCTATTTTTATTTTATTTTATTAATTTTTTAGAGATGAGGTCTTGCTCGGTTGCCCAGGCTGGGGGCAGTGGTGCAATCATAGATTCATAGATAACTGCAGTCTCAAACTTCTGGGCGCAGGTGATTCTCCTATGCCAGCCTCCTGAGTAGCTGGGACTACAGGCATCCACCACCATACCTGGCTAATTTTTTATTCTTATTTTTGGTGGGACGGGGGGTCTCCCTATGCCGCCCAGGCTGGTCTTGAACTCCTGGCTTCAAGCGATCCTCTGGCCTTGGCCTCCCAAAGCACTGGGATTACAGGCACCAGCCACCATGCCTGGCCCAATCTACTTATCATTTAATGATTTCCCATTGCTTTTTGGATACAGTCCAGAGCTTTAACATGGCAACAAGGCCTGGCATGGTCTGGCCTTTGCCCACCCGTCATGCTGTTCTTGCCCTTTCATACTTGGCGGTAGCCACACCACGGACCTTTCGTTTCCTGGAAGATGCCATGCGTGCCCCTGCCAGCCACAGGGGCTCGGAGGAGCTTTGGAATGTTCTCTATTCCTGTCTCCACTCACCTGGTAACCCCTAGCCCACTTTTCAGCCCTGAAGTTAAACATCAGGGCTCTGCCTGAGTCTTCCTCTCCATCAGAAATCAGGCCCCCTTTGCACCCTCAACATACTTATCACAGTTTATCATTTGTTGGGGATATTTCCTTCCGCTGCTAGACTGGAAGCTCCATGAGGTGAGCACCACGCTGTGTCTGCCCTATCTACCCATGCATGGGGATGAGGCAGGCATGCATCCCCAGTGCCTGGAGGAAGGCCAGGTGCATCCCACATGCAACAATAGTTGCTGAATGAATGTTGTCGAATGTCAGACCTGGAAAGGCCCATGGTGATAAACCAACCACCCTCTCCCGCTTCTTCCTACCTCCGTGTCACAGCCAAGGGAGCAGAACTTTGGGGAGGGTAAGAGGTTTCCCTGAGGTCCCACAGCGACTCAGTGACAGTTTGGGCGTAGGGATCACTATATCCTGCCTGTCCGTCTATTTTCCCCACTCCCCACCCAACCCCTTGCATTTACAGGAAAGCCTCGGTCCCCAGTGCTGAATATTGGCCGATTTCCTCTTGTTGCTTTTCAAATGAATACAAGTTAGGAAGCAAAGCACTAAGCTCTGGATGGTTTTTTTTTTAAATTTGGAAAAGAAGGGGTTCTGTATCCAGAGGGGGTTCCATACCCACATCGTCGGTGGTGGGCAGTGGGGCCATGTGCCTGGACGGCGAAGCCTGCCATCTAGCAGGCAGCTATCTCCACCTGGTTTTGTGCTTGGGCTTGCTGGCCCCTCCTCCGGGAGCCTGGAGGGTTGGCGAGTCCTGGTAGTTCTGGGTCATGAACTGGGTGCTTGCTTCAGGTTCGCCCAGGTGGAAGCGGTTCAGAAATATGCCCATTTTCCAAGAGCCTGGAAGGACAAACAGACCATAGGGAGGCAGTGAGAAAGAGCCATGGACTTGAAAGCTAGCAGGGGCCTGGGAGGGAGGCCGGCTCAGGGGAGCCGAGGCAGCAGGTGATGTGATGGCCATGGGGCGTAGTGGCTGTGGGAGCTTCTGGCTCCTGCTGCAGAGGCAGTCCCCAGGTGTTAGCAGAGCCTCTGAATAGCAGCAGAGCTGCCTGCTCTCCAGAAGACAATGGGGACTGACAGCCCAGCCCAAGTCAAGGATGCCTGAGTCTCCTTCCCCAGCGCCTCTGTTTAGCAAAGCTACCTTCTCACTCTCGGGCAGAAAGGAAGCCCAGTCATGTCGGCTGCCCACTTCCTCCACTCACGCCCTCTCCCTGCAGGCTCCCCTGACCTCAGGATGGGAGCTTTCACCACTGCTTTCCTTCACATCTGCTCACCCCTGCTGCTGGGGCTGAGATTGGGGCTGAGATTGGCGGAAGTATCAGTGCTCTTCTTTCAATCTTCTCCACTAAACCCCACCAACCTCCTCCTCTCTGTCCTAGGACAGGGCATGCACCAGGGTGCCTTCCCTGTGGCAGAGGTGGAGGGGCAGCCCCCGGACCCTGGCGGGAGAGCTGGGCCTGCAGAAGCCCAGACAGTGCCCAGGTCGGAGGGGTTCCTCCTCAGGGCGAGAAAACACAAGTGTGTACAGGGAGGCGCATCTTCTGGGGCGAGTGTGAACAGGCCTCGTGGCAGGGTGAGGAGGGCACAGCCCGGGGCATGGAGTGAGGCTGAGGGAAGTGGTCAGAGGCATATTCCCACGTTCTTGTTTCCCAAACCCTGGGTGTCAGGCACCCTGGGCAGATGCTTGCCAGGAAAAGGCAGGAAGTAGTTCAATTTGAATCTCAGATAAATAGCAAATCGTTTGTTGGTGTGAGCGTGTCCCACATTCTGCATGGAGCATACTTAACACGAATTATCTTTTTTCGTTGTTTATCTGGAATTCAAATTTTACTGGGCATCCTACTTTTTTTGTTGTTGTTTTCTGCTAAATGCAGCAACCTCCCAGGGTGGAGAGAGAGTGCCTGGGGAAGACCCTGTCTGGAGCAGAGCTAGGCAGTGGCCGATATACAATGGATTAATGGAGACCAGTCAGCTCTTATACACAGACAGAAGAGGGCAAGAGGCTGGCAGCTCTCAGAGCCTCACCTGAGACTCACGGGCCACCCAACCTCTCACCTACCTGTCTCCTTGGTCAGCACCCACCACCCTTTTCATAGCAATTAAGATAGCAAGCCCATCGAAGCGTTCCTGCCTCCCAGAGGCTGCTGACATTTCAAAGATGTTCTCAAGGAGAGGATAATTTTTAATCCAAACCCCAAAATAACAATAACAATAATGCAAATAATAAAAGCAGTAACACCCCAATTTCTGTGCTTCCTATGTGTTGGTACTACTCTCAGAGCTTGACACATAATTCGCTTAATCCTCACACCAATCCTAAAAAGGGAGGACTGTTCCCATTCCCAGTTCACAGATGGGATGACTGAGGCACAAAGTGGGGTACTGGCAAGGAAGCTTCGCAGGGGCAGGGATAGGGGAAAGGCCTTTGCAGATTCCCTCAAATCCTATCCAACTCAGTGATTGCATGCTCCGATGGGGCCCAGGGGGACTGGAAAACAAGGGGTTCCAGGAGTTCTTTTGCAGAAAGTGTAGCCAAGGTGCTGAGAAAGGCTCTCCCGCTGGAGGTGTACTGACTGCAGTCGGGTTCTCCTAGGAGTCTCGGTGTTACCTGAGTGTTCTTTCAGAGGGGCTGTGCCTGAGCCTCTGCACCCCAGGAGCCCAGCTGGCTGGAATGAAAGGAATTATGGTATTATGACCCTGGGAACGAGTGTGTGCACACACATGTGTATGTGTAGGTGCCTGTGTGTATATGTGTGTGTGCTGGTGTGTGTGCATGCCAGGGTAATAAGGGCTTATGGGTGAATTGGTGTGTGACAGGAACAGGGACAAGGGGGCCTTCCCCACCGTAGGGCAGGAAGGAACCCGCATGGCAGGAAGGGAATTGAAACCCATCACGAGGCCAGGGCAAGCTGTGGGGAAGAAATCCCCTGCGTCCAGAGCGAGAGCTGGCTCCCTTCGATAATTCGGAAGCCTCTGAGCCTTCAGTGCCCTGGGGACCTCGTGTCCCCAGGCACTGGACGCCCTTTCCAGTCCCAAGTCGACAGCCCTGTGGTTCTCGGGCTCCCCGGCCAGCTCCTGAAACCCAGTCCCCGTGCCGGCTAGCCTCTTGCTGCCTCCTTTCCTGGCTCGGCCGCAACTCCTTACACCCCCTGTTTCCTGCCACAGAGGACAAGTTCTAGAAGGCAGAGGGGGTGAGTCAGGCCCTTGGGGTGTGTGGGGAGAGCTGGAGAGCTAGGAGACTGCGGCTTCTGTGGTCACCGCTCAGAGGAAAGCCCCTTCCTGTATGGCACTGCTGTCCCTGAGAGGCAGAGAGTCCGCGGCCAGGAAGGAAGAGGGCAGCGCTGCTGTCTATGCTTGGGCCACTCCACTGTACCCTGGACGCACCCAGGCCAGGCTCTTCCTGAGATGAGGGCGGGGCAGTGCGGGCACTTCAGAGGCCTCTGTGGTGGGAGGCCTTGGCTAAAGGGAGAAAGGAGGAGGAAGCTGTCTGATGCTTGTCTCATGAGCCACCTGCCCTGTGACTGGGACACAGAGGCCTGGGTGTCTCAGGACAGGGCTGCCGCATATGATGTACAGGTTGATCCCTGCACAACCGTAGGGGGTACCGTTCTCATCCTGCATAGCCAGATGCAGCGGCCCTGGAACGCTCACTTACTGGTCAGTGCTGATAGGAAAGATGTTAGTGATGAGAGATGTTAGATTTCAGCGTTGTTCCAGATGGGGTCCAAGGGGAGAGTCTGATAACCTTATCTAAAGCCACCGGGGGGTTTCTGGGCCACCACTCTGTGCCTGGCCTCCTAGCAGGCTCTAGGGGGGAAAGATGTCCCCTGTCTTCAGCAGCTGGGGAAGGGTCTCCTCCTCGGAGCTTTAGTCCCAGGGACTGTGATGATGGCAGGAATGCCCTGGGGCAGGTCTTGACAGTCACTCTCTCCACCCCAAGCTTCCCAGATCTGTGGAGCTGGCTTTCCACCATTTGGGAGTGGTTTGTCACGTGCCTCTGGATGGCTCCATTGGGCCAGTTAGGGTTAAGCAGGCATCCGAGAAACTGAGAGGTGCTCCACCAAGTCCAGCTGACCCTGGCCCCCTTGCAGGACTTGGAAGAATGAGGGGTCTGCTCCCCTGCCAGAAGTGCAAGCTCTTAGATGAGGTCAGACCCCAGAGCCCCTTTAACACTGGCAGCCATCACCCTTGTCCTCTGCCAGGCATGGGGTCAGCAGAGCCGCCTCGTTTCACCTCCTGCCCTCGGCGAGTTTTTAATATAATACAAGTAATACTAAACTAATCACAGTCTGGTCCTTCAAAGGGTGGCCTTGGCCAGCAGTAGAACTTTGTAGTCTGGGTCCCTAGCAGACAAGTTCCCCACCCCCAGTGACACCCCTGGCTTCCCTTCAGCAGGCCCATTCTCTAGGCTGGGGTACAGTGGCACTATCACTGGTCATTACAGCCTTGACCTCCCAGGCTCAGATGATCCTCTTGCCTCAGCCTCCTGAGTAGCTGGAACCACAGTTGTGTGCTACCACACCCGGCTAATTAAAAAAAATTGTTTGTAGAGACAGGGTCTCTTTATTTTGCCCAGGCTGATCTGAAACTCCTGGCCCAAGTGATCCTCCTGCCTGGGCCTCCCAAAGTGCTAAGATTACAGGTGTGAGCCACCGAGCCCAGCCAGGCCCACTCTTAAGACTTCCCAACAGCCGAGGACAGCACTTCCTGGGTGACCCTGCTGTAGCCAAGAAATGTTTCCCACCTGACTGGTCACTTGGTCCTCAGTATTTCCGTCCTGATGTATTTCCCTCTTAGCCTGGGAAGTGGGGTAGGGAAGCTCCTCACCCCAGCTCCATTCTCCCATGGGCCCCTGTTCGGGTGGACTGGAGAATAGGGAGTGGGTTGCTGAGCCCCTGAGGTTGGAGCTGCGGCAGCATCTTGTCCCAGGGCAGTCTCTGTAAGGACAGGGGCCACTGGCTCTGGCTCCGAACAGCCCTGTTCCTTCAGCTGGTGATCTGTATCTACTCAAGGTGGTCACCCTCTTTTCTGGCCTCGCTGCCTCTCCCCTTAGGTAAGGGCACCACTGCTTCTTGTTGGGGGATGGTGGCCCTGAAGAAAAAAACAAAAACTCAACTCCAGCCTAATAACCACCCCACAGAGAGCCTGGCTCAGGTCTGTAATTTGTCTGGCTCATCACGGGACTGGCCACATTGATAGAAGCCCTGATACCTTTCTGCCAAGATTAATGATGTCCTGGCGGTGGTAGGCGGGAGGCCTGAGCCTTTTATTTTTTGTGCCATTAAATGACATCCAGAGACTTCTACTCAGGACCTGAAAAGCCCTCGTTCTATCACATCCAATTACTCCTGGAGGAGATTTGCTGAGTGGCTGATCCTGTGGGCTCGAGAGGCTTTGGGGTAGTGGGGGGCACTGTGACTTTGGCAGGAGTGAGAGGGTGGGGATGCCAGGGGAGTTTTGGGGTGGTGAGGGGACCCACATCTCCTTTGGAGAGAGGACCCAGGAGGGCTGAAGAGTAGAAGCTGGTTCTAATTATCCAGCCAGTGCATCTCCTAGGCCTCCTCCGCCCTTCTGCAGCTGAGGGTGGGGCGCGAAATGTATCAGGAGGATGGGAGACTCCAAGCTGCCAGTTTAGCTCCCAGTGATAAATTCCAATATTTGGTAGTGGTGACAGTTGGCTGGCATTTTGGGTAGAATTTGGGGGCTTATCTGTAGTTTCTTCTTGATGTGTTCAATATTGCTCGGGACGGCTGATGTTTGGCCGGACTGGGACTTGCTTCTTGAGGAGGTCCACCTGGGGCTCATGGAGATTTCAGGTGGTTCCCAGCCTGGGTGCCTGT